TTTCTTTTCTCGTTCTTCTTGTTTATTTTCTCGTTCTTCTTGTTTCTTTTGTTGCTCTTGTATTGCTGCCATCAAGTCTGCTAAGCTGTAGTTTGATTTGCCACTTCTTGTTTCCATTTTTTATCCCACTTCTGACACCAATTTGTTACACCTCTGGTCGTTTGTTAATTACTTCAGCGATACAAGTTCTTTCTTAAATAAAACTAGTTTATTCTTTCTCAATACAACTTTGCAATACACTTAATTTCCAAAGTCACTTTAACTTAAACACACGCTATAATTCACAATGATTTACACACGTTACTTACGGCTTGGCTAGATTATCTGTCTCTATTTCTCTGTCTGCTTTTCAATTATCTATCTGACACTTCTCGACGGTCTTGTATATACAAACTAGAGGGCGTCCGGCAAACACTTGAGTCTTCAGGAACGTTCGAGATACTCATTATGTGTTACCGCGTCACGTGACTTCTGCTGTCATAAAAATATGATTGAAAAATGTTTTTTAATGTAGAGGCCACAATAATAATAAGAACTTCTGCATGACAAAAGTGGATTGTAATTAATGTTTTGTGCTGTTGAAAAATGTTTTTTGATGGATAATGGTGATTAATGCTTTCACCAGGTAGCAGTAGAGAACAGTGTAGAAAAAACATTGTGCTGTTGCTGGTGTACCTCAGGGCCCATATCTATGTATGCACGCACAGATAGAAGAGGCTACTGTCCAGGTGAGACATTATTCAACGTCCAGTAATATTGTTTTATAAGTAAATTTAGATCAAAATGATGATTCAACTTCATGTTTGTTTCATTCTATATTGTCAAGTCACACCCTAAATGAAGGGCAAAAATTTCATGTTTCATTCAAGATCATAGTTTTTAATGTTATAGTTATTGAAGGTTACTCTTCTAACATCTAGTTCAGTTTAGTTTTTTGTATCATTTTATGGACTGTATGTATATTTTATTTAGTGTGTTTTTATAACTGTTTCTTACTATACTTTTTATCTTTTTTAATGTTCTGTTTGTTCTGAAGGGGAGTCAATAGCTATCACTGCAGACTTTGAAAATCTTTCCTCACGAATCATCATTCCTCATGCAACCCTTCACCAGACCCAGACATTTGCAGCTGGCGGAAAGTCTCGTTTTCGACACTCAAAGTTCACCATCGTCACAGGGTTAGCCATCCAGCCAGGAAGAACAGCCAACTGGGATTTTCAACTACTAAAAATTCCTGCTGTTTCACCATCCATAATTAATAACTGTTTGATAAGAGTTGATTATGCTGTGAGAGTAAGTTTAAAAATTGATATTATTTGCAATTAATATACTTAATCTGGTTCACCCATACATTTGTAGTCCATTAAAATTGATGATATTGTTACTTCTCTGGTCGTTTGTTAATTTCCGGTATAAATTCTTCAACGATTCACGCACTTTACTTACGGTTACTTGACTCAATTATCTGTCTCTATACCTATCTATCTGCAATTCTATCTCTGCTTTATTTGCCGGGCTTATATACAAAAATAAAGGGCGTTTGGCAAACACTAGTGTTGCTAGGAACAGTCATGATCCTTCTAGAAACTCATGACGTGCTACCAGCGTCATGTGACTTCCGCTGTCGTAACAATATTTTTTCCATAACACTGTTAAAGCTGTTTCCATGAACATTATATTCATAAATCAAATTGTGATATCTCACATGCATTACCTTGCATTTATTACAATTAAATTCCATGTTCTATTTATTTTTCTAATTCACCAAATAATCCTAATCCTTTCGTAAGGCAGCAGCATCCTACTCAGAGCCAACAACACCCAAACTTTAATGTCATCAACAAATTTGAATAATCAAGTGACCATTTCTTGATCTATGTCATTGATGTACATCAAAAAAGACCAAAGGCTCTAACACTGAGCTCTGAGGTACCTCACTAATTACATTACATCAGTTTGACTGAACTCCATTTATAACAAATTTCTGCTATTTTTTATCTAGCCAGTTTTCTTTTCAATGAGCCAACTTATTTACCACACCTATAAAGATAACTTTTCATTAAGCCTTTTATGTGGCATCTTATAAAATATTTTTTTGATAATCCAGATACACAACCTCCACACCCATACCTTCATATATCTGTAAGCAGTAGCCTCTTTAAAAAATGTCAAAAGATTAGTTAGGCAAGATTTGCCCTAGGAAAACCATGCTGACTATTCAACAAAATTTTAAACTTTGTTAAATGACTTTACAAGGTATATTTCATGAGACTTTCAAAAACTTTTCCAACTATTGATGTAGGACTAATAAGCCTATAATTACTGGGACAATTTGTGTCATCTTTTTCAAAAAGAGGAGTAACATTAGCCAACTTCTAATCTTCTTTCGCTTGTCAACTACTCAAGGAACTAGAAAATATAATATGAAGTGACTCACATGTCCAATCCTTTACTTATTTCAAACCCCTTTTGTGTAAATATTACTTGGCTCAGTACTTTGTCATTCTTCAAACATTCCATTTTTTCTTAACGAGCTCATAATTAGTTTGATCATCTTGTTCAACCTTGTTTGCATCTAGAAACTACTTACGTTAAAGAATTTTGCTTAAATCTTCATTAGTAAAAACTGAAGAAAATGCAAAATTTAAGAACCCAGCCATCTCATAAGCATTAGATACAAGCCTTCCATTATCATCCCTCAAATGTCCTATCCCCATCCTAACATCTTACTTACCCTTAAGGTATTTGAAAAAGTCTTACTATTAATTTTTACATCTCCAGCCAACCCTTTTCATATAGTTTTTTAATTTCCTAATCTCGTGTTTAATCAATTCTCTTAATATTTTATAGTCCTCCAAGTCTCTCATTATTGCAGTAAATTTAAACATATATTTATTATACTTTTTTTTAGTTTTATCCTTTATACCTTTTGTAAGTCAACATGTTTTTTACTTGCAGCCATAATTTTTTTTGTGTATAAAGAACATGCCAATCTTGAATATTTAAAAAATTATCTTTAAATGTTTTCCACATTAGTATCTCCAACTAATTCAGTTGCCCAATTTACAACACAAAATTCTTATTTCATCTTTTAAAAATGTAATTCTTTGAAATTTGGAACTAAAGTTTTATTATTCCTGATCTCCACATGCAGCAAAACATGAAATCTAATTGAGAAATGATCACTTGCACCCAGATGTTCTCAAGCCTCTACCCTGTCAACCATTTCTTTATTAGAAGTTTTCAATAAATCTAAAATAGTATTGTTCCTAGTAGGTTCTTTAAACAATTGTTGAAGGAAACCATTTTGAAGAGTTTATAGAGTCATGACTTGACTTTAGTATTTCCCAATCAACATGCCTGAAATGAAAATCTTTCATAATTATAACCTCATTAACAGTTGAATTCTTTATCTTTCTGTACAGTTTCTCCATAATTTCATCAGTCTCATTTGATGATTTGTAATATATTCCAACTAAAAGCCTTCTCTCCTTATAACCATTAATAGGAACCCAAGTAGTGGTGTCATCAAGTTAGCTCAATGCAGAGTTCAGCTTAAAATGTTTTTCTTGAACTTTCAGATGCTTCAGTTATAGCTGTAATATGCAACCATCAATCATGACAACCTTAGAAAAACTTTTGTTAGTTGTAATATGCAACTATCAATCATGACACTTTTGTAAAAACTTTTGTTAGGTATAATATGTAACCATCAATCATGACACCCTTGGAAAAACTTTTGTTAGCTATAATATGCAACCATCAATCATGACTCTTTTGTAAAGACTTTTGTTAGCTATAGTATACAATCATCAATCATGACACCACTGGAAAAACTTTTGTTAGGTATAATATGTAACCACCAATCATGACACCATTGGAAATATTTTTGTTAGCTGTAATATGCAACTATCAATCATGACACCATTGTAAAGACTTTTGTTATATATAATATGTAACCATCAATCATGACACCCTTGGAAAAACTTTTCTTAGCTGTAATATATAACTATCAATCATGACACGCTTGCAAAAACTTTTGTCACATGCTTCGTATAATTTTTGAAATGTTCTGTCATACAATGACACGATGATAATAAATGGTCTTGGCTTTTTACACACAATTGCTTTGTCTAATGTAACAACAGATCCACTCGTCACATGCCAAGAACCACTCCTATAGGTTTCAATAACTGTTCAGCTATGAATACAGATCCAGTTTGGAATTTATTAAAGTTCAAGTGATTTTCCTACTTCATCTGTAATGGGCCCCTTTGTTCTTTGGTTATAGTTTGGAGTTGATTAATGTTCAAGGAATTTCCTACTTCAGCTGTAATGGACCACTTTGTTCTTGGGTTGTAGTTTGGAGTTGATTAAAGTTCAAGGGATTTTCCTACTTCAGCTGTAATGAACAACTTCGTACTTGGGTTGTAATTTGGAGTTGATTAAAATATTGTAAATCATACTTTAATGTATTTAATTCACTTTGACATTTACTAATCCTTTCCATTTGTGTATGCTGGCTTTCTCTCAACTGTTGGAGACCTTCTTCTTGTTTCTTTTTTTTTCCTCCAACAACTGCTGTAAGCTCTCTTCTTGTTCATTTTCTCCCCTCCCCAGCCACTGCTGTAGTCTCTCTTCTTGTTTCTTTTCTCATTCTTATTGTTTCTTTTCTTTTTCCTCTGACAACTGCTGTAATCTCTCTTCTTGTTTCTTTCTCGTTCTTCTTGTTTCTTTTCTTTTTCCTCCAACCACTGCTGTTGCCTCTTTTTTTGCTTATTTTCTCGTTCTTCATGTTGCTTTTGCTGTTCGTGTATTGCTGCCATCAAATCTGCTAAGTCGTAGTTTGATTTGGCACTTCTCCTTTTCATCTTTTTCTTTTTTTTCCATCCCACTCTCTGACACCAATTTGTTACGTCTCTGGTCGTTTGTTAACTTTAGGTATAAATTCTTCCCGAGGAACTTCAGTGATACAAGTCCTTTCTTAAATAAAACTAGTTTATTATTTTTCAATACAACTTTGCAATACACAGAATTTCCATAGTCATTTTAACTTAAACACACGCTATAATTCACAACGATTCACGCACTTTAATTACGGTCACTACCGCTTACTTGACTCAATTATCTGTCTCTATATCTGTCTATCTGCAATTATCTCTCCGATTTATTTGTCGGGCTTATATACTAAAATAAAGGGCGCCTAGAAAAGACTAGAGTTGCCAGGAAAAGTCAAGATCCTTCGAAAATCTCATGACGTGTTACTAGCGTCACGTAACTTCCGATGTCGTAACAGTATATAAGCCTGGCGAGAAAAACCAGCAGATTAGATTAAAGATATAGATAATTGAGTCAAACGAGCGTAGGCGCAGTAAGTAAAGTGTGTGAATCACTGTGATTTATAGCGTGTCTTATAACAGTAGGTAAGTTTAACCTACTGATTGGAAATTCTATGTATTACAAAGTTGTATCGAGCAAAAATAAACTGGTTTAATTAAGAAAGGAGTTGTATCACTGAAGTTCCTCGGAAAGAATTTATACCAGAAATTAACAAACAATCGAATACGTAACATTACTATCCAGGTATCATGCTAGTAGCCCTTCCCTGAACCCTTTTCACAAAATCAATGTCTTTCCTAAGGTAAGAAGCCTAAAACTGAAAAAATAATCCATATTTAGTTTAACCAATGACTTACAAAGAAATGACATTTTTAGGCTTGTATTCAGTCTTTCTCTAGATACAATACTTGTCCTGCCACTAATAACAGCACACTGTTTGAATGGCTTAAGAAACATGCATATTGCAAGCCAAATAATTTTGATATAGCTCTTAGTTTCTTTCTACATTTTCCATTATGAAAGGTTAATTGTAAATGGAGGCACATGTTATCCATCCATGTTATTCTTGTTCATTTATATTCATGACTGACTGAGATGATTTACTAATACAGTGATTTTCCAATTTTTTATATAGTATTTACGTTTTTTAGATCACTCTACAAATCCCAGGAGCTTACAATCTGTCAGTGAACCTACCTATTGTGATTGGAACAGTCCCTTTACGAACACGACCACCAAATTACAGAACACTGCTCTCTGCCTTAGAGGCTTTTCCTAGAATTAATGATTTGGGACTGACATTTTACCCAGTTGCTCCCCCATATAGTGAAGTGGACATGTCCTTATTGCATGATGAACGTAAGTTTATTAATGTTAACAGTTAATAATCAGCATGACATAGACTACTGATATTATAAATTAATATTTATATGAAATGTTTATTGCTCACAAAATTTTATATTAAATGAAATGTTTTCCACACTTTCCAGCACTGAAGTTGGAAATTTGCTCCTAATAAACATTTAAACAGTGTCCATGCTATTGAATTTATAATCACACACTTAGTATTAGTTAAAAACGTTATTTAAGGTGGTTAACAGTTTATCTGTATTTTTACACATTTTATGGAGATTACTAGCTACAGTAATGAACTTAGCAAGGAAAAGGTAAGCTTTTCTTATTGGGACAAGAGTTTTGTTGAGCATAAGCTAGCAAAATTAGGACATACACTCACCAAAGATCACAAAAAATTTAATAATTTTTAATTGGTCTAATTTCTTTAGCTTTGGAAATGTTGTGATCAAGTATTTGGATTGAATAGGAATTATTATTATTAATACAGATGCTAAATGGTAGTAAGAATGTTTATAGATAATCATGCTAAGTTAAACTATAAAGTAACTAAGAAGTTTCTCCTTAAAAGTAACTGAGGCATTTTATTTACTATTGTTACGTATCTAGTCGTTTGTTAATTTCCCGTAAAAATTATCCCCAAGGAACGTCAGCGATACAAGCCCTTTCTTTAAATAAAACTAGTTTATTCTTTCTCAATACAACTTTGCAATACACATAATTTCCACAGTCACTTTAACTTAAACACACGCCGTAATTCACAATGATTCACACACTTTACGTACAGTCACTACCGCTCACTTGACTCAATTATCTATCTCTATATCTCTCTTCAATCTGCTATTATTCATGCCGTCACTCCTCATCTCCGCTTTATTTGCCGGGCTTATATACAAAAATAGAGGGCGACTGGTAAACACTAGAGTTGCCAAGAACAGTCATGATCTTTCTAGAAACTCATGACGTGTTACCAGAGTCACGTGACTTCCGCTGTCGTAACAATATTTATTTACCTAATGTACATACGCAAATATTGTAAAAGTAACTTCAAAATTGTTTAATGTGAAGTTTTATATGTAGGCCTCAGACTAGTGTCACGCCACGTTTCTAGAACTATCCTATTCCTTCGGGAGTGCTCTAGCATTTGCTAGATTGGGGGTGGTCTGGTATATATAAGATGGTCACGGCGTGACGTGACAATGTGTGTGTAGGTAGTGAGTAATTGAACTGCAGTCAGAAAGTATTGTTGAAGTTAACGTCGTTGTTATAGCATTGTTATAGAGCGACTGTTGAAAATAAGTGTATCGGTAAAGTTATATTCAGAAAGAATAAACCAGTTTTATTAAGAAAGGACTTGTGTCGCTAAAGTTTCATGGGAACGAAGTTACGGAAAATTAATTAACAAACGGAGACGTAACAAATTGATGTCAGAGAGTGGGACAATAAAAAAATGGAAACGAGAAGCGGCAACTCAAACTACAGCATAGCAGACTTAATGGCAGCAATACAAGAACAGCAAAAGAAACAAGAAGAACGAGAAAAGAAATTACAACAGTTGTTAGAGGAAAAAG